GGCCCTCCCCACGAGACGCAAATCAGCAGGGGAGCAGCTGTCACCGACAGAGCACGGAGTCACACGAGTGACTTCGTCAGTAAACACAACAACAAGCAGGAGAAAACTACAACATGGTTTGTGTTTTATATTCTGTCTATTTTATAATCGCCAATACGGACCTGAAAAACAAAGGAGACCGCTAGCTAGGTGATAACTTCTCACGGGGCCGCACCGTTAGTAACTTTTTTTTAAAAGTAAAGCAGCCGGAAGGCAGTACGTTCTTTATTCTGAAAATCTCGGTAGCTTCTCTCCATTTCCGCGTCCGATTTCCTGTCTTTCCTTCCCCAAAAATGTCAAACTTGACCCGTTTCAGAGGCGTTGCGCGTAGAAAATAGAACCGGCGCGTAAGGGCCGCGACATGCTGCTCCTGAGACGCGGCCGACTCGCGCTGCTGACGGCTCCGGTGGAAAAGGTTCTGTTGACCACAGCGGTTCCTATCAGCAGCTATGACGTGCTGCTGCAGTAACGTGCTGCTGACGGCTCCTGTGGAAAGCCGGGGTTAGACCTGCTCTCATGTATTTTAGACCTGATTTTTATGGTTATATGTAATAAAACCACCAATATTCAACAACTGGGCATAATTTCATTCATTTTGTTAAACATTTCAATGGATATTTCCAGAGACTAATGGTAAAAACTACAGATTGTCTCTTTGATCTGTCAAAACACTCACAATGGTCACTTACTTTCATGTTTGATATTAATTATTATAAACTACATTGATTTCTTTATATGAAAAAGGTTAAAAGTAAACAGCCGAATCCTAGATTGCATCTCTTATCTCTTGCACCTATATATTAGCAGACAAATGGACTAGTATTTACAAAAGTAAATGTGCGTCCGATCAAATGAACACAGTAAAATGTACTCTCATGTAAGAGGGAGATATGTCACACCTTTTGTTATGTTAGATCTTCTCCAGATTAGGAATTAACTTTCTTGTGGTCTAAGGATTAGGAGTTATTATCCAACATAATAAAACGATTGTTGTCAAAAAATGATTGGTTTTAGTGCAAAGTTTATTTTTAACTAGGATCACAGAGATGATTTATAAAGATAACCAGACCCAAAGCATAACTGAACTGATTTATGATCAACTTACATTTTAGTTTGCAATTAATTTAAAAATCATTTTGAGTGATAAAATGGAGACAGGCGTTCTCATCCCAGAATCAGATAACTCTATCTTGACCAAACAAGAATTGTTGTCTAAAAAGATAATTCATTATTTTGAGATATTGGAATGAAATCTCAAGAAAACAAGCTTATTACTTCTAAATAATGAGGTATTTCTGGCTCAAAAAATGGAAAAAAGCTTTGCTTTCTAAAGTTCTGACATCACAAAATGTATTTTAAAATTGTAAAATAAATAGCACTGTTATCCTAAAATAAGATTTACTATTTAAAATACTGACATAACTTTTCTCAAAAGCTGAGCTTTGTAGTGTGAAAAAATTCCAACATTTAAAATATAATATCGGTTTTTGTTCATTTGAAGATTTAAAGTGTTTTGTGACTTTTCTACATTAGAAACAAAACTTTAAATTCTTTCTTACACATTAAAACCAAGGCACTATAGATTTAAACTAACTACTTTAATCAACGCAGAGATGGTCAAACGTTTAAAACATCACATTTGAATTCAAACATCTTCCTGGATGCTTGTGTCAGATGAACCCTACAGATCCTGACATACTGGCCTACCCAGAATGCCCTTTTTCTCTCCAGACAGCTATGACATCACCACACCACTGATACGGCTCAGAGACGGTTATATAAGGGGATGCTCTACAGACATCAGCATTCTGCGCCCTGGCCCTTCCACAGGGAGCAGGAGGGGATGGATGTGGAAAAGAGGAGGGGCAAAAATGAAAGAAGGCCAGGAAGAAAGACAAGACGGAGAGAAGGTCACAAAAAGAGAGGCCCACTGGGGTGATGATGGCTGCTGGGAAAGATTGAAGAAGGTCGCCTCAAGCTCCTGCAACAAGACTCAGTCCAAAGGAAAGGGATAGAAAAACCAGGTCACATCCATCCATCTGCTGTCCTCGCTTGTTCTCATTCAGACCTGTTACATCACCACCTCAGGAGCAAACGCATTTCCAAAGTGAATTCGTTTAATCCATGACGAGATGAACCCAACATTTAATTGCTGTTTGGAATCGGCTCATTTTCTGCATAATCGGTCAGGGAGCTGGCCATCTGTAACCCTAAAATCAGATCTTCCATGTGGATGTTTTTACTTCTACAATAACAGAGGCAGACTGACATCCCAGATGTAAACCACAACGCTACCGTAGGTCATTCATCCCCTCTGCTGTAAGAGTGTATAACTACTCAGTTTAAGCTGTACTGGCATTAGCCTGTTACACAATAACACCAATGCAATACTCATTATGTGTTCGATACTCATTCAATACCAGATTTACATAGTATGTCCTTGTCACTTGCAGTGTTGAAACCCAAGTTTTATTCGTGGCTTTTAGTGGTTGAAGGTTACAATACTAGACGACTGCCTATGTGTATATACGTGTAGCTTTGTTATTGTTTTCCTTCAATCATTCCCTTAAGTGTTAGTGCTGCTGTAACAACTGAATTTCCCCACTGTGGGATCAATAAGGTCTATTCTATTCTATTCTATTCTATTCTAATAATTTTCAAAGTCATGACATTTACTGTAAAAGGATTATGTAAGTTATATTCTTTAGATCAATCTGAGCCAAACACAATGAATGTTAGAGGGTCAGTTATAAAACAATCAAACTTTCCCGATAAACCAATCTAAACTCTGATTTTATCTGTAGTCTGGACTCAAATAAACATCCTTTTGCCCTCCTGACAGAGCGCATTTGGTCCATTTGTAATCAAATTCCTGATGACGGCATTTTCCAGAGCTAATAATCAACCCACAAACAGAACGCACAGATTTGTACTAATGGCTAATGGTTAACAGGGAACAATCATGGTTATACCAGCTGATCGTGCAGAAGAGGGTCTCTATTTTGGTTCGTATTTGCTTTAGATATTCACAGAATAGTATTCCTTATCTGGTGTTTAACTCAACAAATTACAACACATTCTGCATTTTCTACTTTACTAAATTCCTATTATGTCACATTTAAATGCATTTTGATTATGATTTAAGTGCCATCCTATGCACCAAGCTATTTATAATTTACTTTCTTGTTCCAAGCTCGATCAAAGGCAAAAACGTGCCACTTTCACACTGCCTTTCTGCACAAGTGCAAGCTTCGAAGCACCGCTGAGAGCTGAGACCCTGACGAGCACTGGAGCTGAGTGGCTACACTGAATGATTTAATTATTACAGAGCCTGTAATGTGGTGATGAAGACATTTAAAAGGAAGCAGCTGCAAATGTGCAAAGTAAACCATTATAGTCATGCTGTGCACTCATGCACTGAGATTATATTCACTGCAACAAGTTTAAAAGATAAAGCGTCAGTGCGGGCTGGCAGCAGTCAGGACTGGGCGACATTAGCAAGCATTACCAAAGTGTTTCTTGGCAACATTTGGTCTCTGTGCATTCATGTTGAGACAACTCCCAAGGAAGTGTTGTCTCTATGGTACAGCCTTTCGGCAGAATTGTCTTTTCATTTGCAGACATGTTTATCTGAAGCAAAAATTCAGTCACGACTTTAATGGCACTTTAATATCCGAGTCCGACAGCTTTAATGACACATTCCTAAACTGGAGCCAGATATCTGATCAGATAAGAGCACCGGGAACTGGGTGTGGCCTGGCAGATTTTCTACTACAACACCACAAACACCAGACTGGGTCACATGGACCATTTAAGTCAACATTCAAAACAAAATGCATTAATTAATTATAATCACTCTGCCTGTAAAAGTGAGCACACAAAAAACTGCTGTAATTATTTGTCCCATTTCAAATCAAGGAAACTAGTGTGTGTGTGTGTGTGTGTGTGTGTGTGTGTGTGTGTGTGTGTGTGTGTGTGTGTGTGTGTGTGTGTGTGTGTGTGTGTGTGCGTGTGCGTGCGTGCGTGCGTGTGTTTTATATGATTGGAGAAAAAAAATCACCAACAGAATTTCCTTTGTCCAATTAGCCAGACAGACTAAGCAGAATGTGTAACATTTGGTGTATGGAAAGGTTTTCCTGGAGTAAAAATAGGAAGGTAGGACAGTAAGTTTCTGTTTTCAAGTGTCCAGATTGTCTAAAGTTGATCAAACATGCTGAATACTGACTCACTGGTTTGTTTCAGTTGCATTCATTAATCATCTTTGTTCATAACACCTGGCAGAGAGAACTGAGGGAAAGCTTTTCAAGTTTATAACAATAGAAATAATGCTTTATATGCTCTAATCTAGAGCTGACACCAGCTCATCCTAGAATACAATTGATCACGTTTATTTGGTTTAAAGTGATAACATCCTCTAGATGGAAAATGTTTCATCCGACAGGAACTGTCACTCATCAATGACGAGTTCACAGACTGGAAAAACTGTTGGGAGTTTTTATTGATGCTTAGCAATGTGGTGTTTGCAAACTGAAAGTAAAATCTGAATATTGAGCTTCAAATTGAGTTTGTTGAATTTCTAAAGTAAGCCCTTCATGATGTATGTTCGCCGATTCCGACCGCCATACGGTTTTTTACTCTACCTTTAGCACCAGAAGAAAGGGATGAAGTTTTGGAGGTGTGTCAAGCTTGCACTGCTGCAAATTACTAACTTCCGGTTCAATGTTCCTAAAAAAAAAGTACTTCTGAGGATAAAGTTTGTATCGGTGCGCAAAACAAAAGCTTCATGCAGGAGTTGTGTGTGTGTGTGTGTGTGTGTGTGTGTGTGTGTGTGTGTGTGTGTGTGTGTGTGTGTGTGTGTGTGTGTGCGTGCGTGCGTGCGTGCGTGCGTGTGCGTGTGTGTGTGTGTGTGTGTGTGTGTGTGTGTGTGTGTGTGTGTGTGTGTGTGTGTGTGGTTCGCTTACATGTGTGCACGTGCGTGACTGGACCATGCGCGCGCCTGAGAACTGCAGTCCAAGTTCGGGCCCTAGAAGCTGCACGCAGCATCCAGGCGTTTTCGCTCCACGCAGAACTCCAGAACCTGCAGAGTGAAGCACCAGCAGCTCTACTGTGGCGTGGTGTCCTGCTCGGATCTGTCACACACGTCCGGGTTTCTGGAGCTAAACCCACGCTGCGAGCGTCCGACGTGTCGAAGCCCGAACAGCACTCACCGTTAAGCGGCTCTCCGCGCCGGTTCGGACACCGATTCGGCCTGGAAATCTGGTCATGAGGCGGAAACGAAGCGGGAGAAAAAGTCCGCCGGGGTTCCTCCGGCGGCTGCAGAAAGTGTGTAACGGCAAGCAGCGCTGGACGGCTCCGACTCCCCGCTGTCCAGGTCTGGTCCTCAGCCTCGTACCGACTATAAACAGCAGCTCTCCCGCCTTCCCGCGACGCTTCAGGGTGAAAAAGGCTCGTTAGTTTCCTCTTTGGTTGCTTCCAGTAGCGTTAGTGAGCTCCAGCGACAGAAGGGAGGAAGCAGCGAGAGGCAGCGCCAGCGTCGCTCCTCCCTCCGCCGCTCTGAAGAGTACAGTAGAGAGCTGCTGCGCAGCTATGAAAGCATTACTGCTCTCTACAGGAAACAGCACATAGGAACAGCATCTCTGCCCAGAACGGCTCGGGTCCGCTTATTTATGGACTTCATCACCACTGCCTCCCCCTCCTCCTCACCTCTCTCTTCCCTCTCCTCATCTTCATCCTCCCCGTCATCCTGCAGGGTCAGACAAACAAGACAAGTCTGGTCAATCAGAGGGAGGCAGCTGTCTCCATCACAACCTAAAACTTCTCCTTCCCTTTCAGCCGGTCATCTGAGACTTCAGTACTCCTCAAATGCTGAGAAAATTAAAATCAATGTGTTATTACTCTTTTAATAAGAGCATTAAAAAGCAAAACTTCTTCAAAGAAAGATATAAGACATCTTCTGGATTCACATCACATCTAATATTAACAAGAATAAAAATTCTGATTATTTATCTTGTGGGGAACATTTCTTGACTACAGGGCTCCTAGGGCCAGGCTAATACGTCATAAGAAATCAAAGTCAAATAATCTTTGTTGGCTTGCAACAACAAAATTGCTGAGAAGCTATACAAATTCTGACATTTCCCCCATTCCATTCATCTTAATCAAGAAAATAAAACCATATTCAGACAAATCGGTGTTAGTCAAAATCAGTTTGGGCAGGTCAGAGCCGTTTAACAATTAATATTGTCCCTCAAAACCAGAATACACACACATACAGTTATTATATTAGTCATAATTACTAATCATCACACAGTTTACAGTACTACAGCTAATTATTATTATTATTATTAATAATAATATACATGTGCCAACAGATAAACAAACTGTTTACAGCCAAAATTAATGTTATAATGTTTGTCTTCGTCTTCGTCTTCCTCCGCTTATCCGGGTCCGGGTCGCGGGGGCAGCATCCCAATTAGGGAGCTCCAGGCCGTCCTCTCCCCGGCCTTGTCCACCAGCTCCTCCGGCAGGACCCCAAGGCGTTCCCGGACCAGATTGGAGATGTAACCTCTCCAACGTGTCCTGGGTCGACCCGGGGGCCTTCTGCCGGCAGGACATGCCCGAAACACCTCCCGGGGCAGGCGTCCAGGAGGCATCCTGACCAGATGCCCAAACCACCTCAACTGGCTCCTTTCGATCCGGAGGAGCAGCGGTTCTACTCCGAGTCCCTCCCGAATGTCCAAGCTCCTCACCCTATCTCTAAGGCTGAGCCCGGCCACCCTACGGAGGAAACTCATTTCGGCCGCTTGTATCCGCGATCTCGTTCTTTCGGTCATTACCCAAAGCTCATGACCATAGGTGAGGATTGGGACGTAGATCGACCGGTAAATCGAGAGCCTGGCTTTCTGGCTCAGCTCCCTCTTCCCCACGACAGATCGGCTCAGCGTCCGCATCACTGCAGACGCCGAACCAATCGGCCTGTCGATCTCCCGATCCCTCCTACCCTCACTCGTGAACAAGACCCCGAGATACTTAAACTCCTCCACTTGAGGTAGGACCTCTCCCCCGACCCGGAGGTGGCAAGCCACCCTTTTCCGGTCGAGAACCATGGTCTCAGATTTGGAGGTGCTGATCCTCATCCCAGCCGCTTCACATTCGGCCGCGAACCTACCCATAATATAATATATATAAATAATGTTTGTATGTATTTGATAAATGCTATTTAACATTTTTATCTTTAATTTTAGCATAATTTTAGCTTATTTTTTTCATTCCACCTATATATCAGCAGACAGGCATGTGTTTTTACATTCACAGCTAGATTTCTACATGCAGCTTCAAGTGACCCACATGCAGATGCAGAATCATGTAAAAGGCAGACGTGAGTAAAGCTAACGCATCAGTCAGCCATCATGCAGACAGCAATGAAGGTAAGCCAGGTCCTAAATGCACAGACTGTTTCATTTCATCAGTTGAATGGTGATTTATGAATAGCACAGAAAAATGCTATACCCCATGTGGACATTTCAGATATTTTGACTTGTGTTTCTGAATTCTTATCCATAGCAGTTTCTGAATGGCTGTCAGGTAGGGTCAGGTGACCACAGGTTTGGCTTCATAAGGAAGATCCAGCCACCTTCTCTCTGCTCAAGAATCCCTTATTTCTGTTCCTGTCAGAAGCGCCAAGCTTCCCAGATCACCATATTACATCCATGAGGTGTCTTAAATTCTCCCTTGCAGGCCTTCCCAACTGTTTTACCGCTCCCTCTGTAACACCAATTCTTTCCAAATCCACTTTTATTACTCTGGGTGTAACTAGAACAAACTCTGACCCATCATCAGTTCTCCTGTGTTTGGGTCTAGCCAGCACTCCACACAACCAGTAATTCCTTTTATCTGTGCCTGTCGTCCTTTAGCTGACAGTTTACCCCATAGATGTTACATTATTCAGTGTTTTATGGAAGATGTAGGAAGATGTATCTTGCTGCACCATAAGTGCCACATTTTGCTGCAGCAGGTTATTTATGCTCATAAACAATATGTAACCTAAAATCTGCAAACCGCATTTGTATAAACCAGCATTTGCATGAACTGCTGTGATATGTGTCACAACTGAGCAGCATCACATTGACAGCAGCACACTTTGGTCTTGGCTGCAGTCAGACTAGCCGTTAGCTCATCATCTCTGAAAGATGTAAACTCAATTTCTCTGAACAGAGGCCATTAGGGATGCTGTGTGTGTGTGTGTGTGTGTGTGTGTGTGTGTGTGTGTGTGTGTGTGTGTGTGTGTGTGTGTGTGTGTGTGTGTGTGTGTGTGTGTGTGTGTAGTTCCACAGACTGTTCCACTTCTCCAAGAGGGAGGCCTTTAAAGATGCTGCTGTCATTTATTTGTGTTTCATTTCCACCTCTTCAGGAAAAGCAGAACAGTCAGACCAACCACCATCTGCTGACAGAAGCTACATATGAAGGGCTGTTACCTGCTGATGATTCAGTCATAGAGTGTTGCTGTTTTGTAGAGGTCATAGAACACGGGCCGGGGTCAGAGTTCAGAAGCCACCTGCTTCAGGTTCTGCAGACGGGCTCTGAGAGAACGAGTACAACTAAACTGCAGCAAGCAAGTAAAAATACATACATTCACACCAGCTCAACTGAAAATAAAACAAAGACCCTGATTGTATCTTTAGTAAAAGAATGAGGTGTGCCAGAGCTGGACATTCACACAGGAGTGGACATCTGTCCCAGAGAATGAATGGATGAATGTGTGAATGAGTGCAGGGACAAGCAGATGGATAACGGCCTTTCTTTGGGAATCTATTCCCAACACAGCCGGTAGGAAACATGGATGAGCATCTGGAGCTGATATTTAACATTTAGTGACTTTCCTCATAAAACCCCAAAGGCAGCATCAAAGGTTTCTATGTTTTTATCTCCCTACATTAATTATTCTGCATCTACTGAAAACTACAGAAGAGTCCTGAAAACTGATTATTCGCAATATCATGAAATAAATGCTGAACATTGTGTCTTCTGCATCATTTGATTCTTATTTCCCATAAAGATTACCAATGTGTTTTATATGTAAATCTATTTTAAATTAAACATTTCATTATGCGTTAAGGATATCTTTTACTGCTTTAATCTTCACCAATGCATCTTTTTTGCTGTTTTAACATTTTGAATTTTGGTGATTTGTGCTTCTATTTATGCAGTTCAGATTAAAACTAGATTAAAACGCAGTAACAACATAATCTGTTCAGGTTAAAGCCAGATTAACCTTTGGATTTCCTCTAACAGTGATCTTATATGAGCTCTTTTATAGTTTTAATTACATCTATTTTTATTATTAGAAAGAAAGTGACCGTAAAAAACAAATATGAAAATAAAGGTAAATATTTAAATAACCCATGCCATACTGCCCAGCTTGTTGTTTCTTTGTGTAGATTTTAAATGTTTAAAGTCACATTGACAGAGAATGCCTACAAATACTCTAATTTTTAACATTTGTGTATTTTAATTTAAACGTTTTTATGTGTCTTAACATGACTTTTTTCATCTAACAGAAGAACTTCATCTTTAATGGTCACAAGAAGACTTTATCTAATGAATTTTTTAATCTTTTTTATCTATGGTGAAAATGATAAAAATCTTTAACATTTTATGTTGGCATTCCGATAGTTTCTGGTTTTCTGTTAATAATAGTTTTTTCATTTATTTCTTTATTCACAACTTATAATTTTATAGAAATGTATTTATCTTTTGGTTTCACAATTTATTGACCATAAAATAAAATTGTTAGGTCATAGTTCTTAAATACTATAATCAATGTACATCAATCAATTACATAAAATATTAATAAAACATTATATAAAATATAATAAATAAAATACATTATTATTATTATTATTATTATTATTATTATTATTATTATTATCCGTCCATCCATTGTCTGAACCCGCATTGTCCACGTGGGGTCACGCGGGGGGGTGGGGGCTGGTGCCTATCTCCAGCGGTCAATGGGCATTCAGGCGGGGTACACCCTGGACAGAGAGCCAGTCCATCGCAGGGCAACACAGAGACACACAGGACAAACAATCACACACACACACACACACACACACACACACACACACACACACACACACACACACACACACACACACACACCTAAGGACAATTTAGACAGACCAATCAACCTAACAGTCATGTTTTTGGACTGTGGGAGGAAGCTGGAGTACCCGGAGAGAACCCACGCATGCACAGGGAGAACATGCAAACTCCATGCAGAAAGATCCCGGGCCGGGAATCGAACCCAGGACCTTTTTGCTGCAAGGCAGCAGCTGGCTACTGTGCCACTGCAGCCCTATTATTATTATATAAAATATTATTAATAGTAATTGCCACACATAGAACAAAAAAAAAATAAAAATTATAAAAATATATAAAAATAAAATTATTTTTATCCAAATCAAATAAACTGTGAAACAGTGAATTTCCCTACTGTGGGATCAATAAAGTCTATTCTATTCTGTTCTATTCTGGAAACACTACTTGATATATTCATATACAAAAAAACAAAAAGGTTGTGTGTAAGTGTGTGTGTGTGTGTGTGTGTGTGTGTGTGTGTGTGTGTGTGTGTGTGTGTGTGTGTGTGAGTGTGAGTGTGTGTGTGTGTGTGTGTGTGTG